TTCTTCTTCTAGTTGAATTCTGATCATCCAGCTATCGAAGCCAGGTCAAGTGGGTATTATCTGCAAGTCTGGGTGTTCTTGTGCATATGCCCTCTCTTATCTGCTGGATACTTCATTCTCCACTCTAGCCCTCTGTGGCTATGTCACTGACTGGACCTAGGAGTCCCCAGGTCTTGCCACACTGCTGGCCAACCAGGTCTCCACCCGGGTTCACAGGAATCTATTAACTGCTTGCTGGCAGCTAATACTTTTTAAAGGTAAGTATTTTCTTTCCTGACTTCTTAAATGATCTTGTTCTTGTTGTTAAGTGCTGTGGAGTCGATTTCTACTCATACAGACCCTGTATGAGGAGTTGCTGGTGAGCTGGAACCAATGACCTTGCAGCTAAAACTGACCCTGAAGTCCAGTGCATTATTAATTAACCCACACCACCACATCAGGACTCCGAAATGACTTTACCAAGTGTTAGTTAGGTGACAAAAACGTGCTGATTGGTTGTGAACAAAGCTTCATCTTCAGAGGAATTGTGATCTCAGTCAGTTGAAAACAAATAAAAAGGGAGTAATGCAGTAGAAAACCAAAATGAGTGACAGACAGATACCCACAGTTAGAAGGTGCAAGGCACTGCCTCACTTGGCCTGCTAAGACAACCACAGGGCAGCAGGAGATGGGAATCGGACCTGAAAACCAAACAAGTAGTACATGCAACTACCACCACCAAAAGCCACCAGCATTCAAATACAACTTGCCCAAAATTTGGCAACTGCTTTTAGAAGCTCAGGAAGTTACTAAAGATATGTAAATACTTTGAAATTATCTAAAGCTTGGTTCTATACTGAGATAGAAACAAGCATACCAGGGAAATTCATACAATAGAAAACTGACAATTAGCACAAGCCTGACAATGACAAAGGAATGTTCAATTGGTCATTAAGGTCTCTGGGTAACTTTATGTGACCACTAAATGGTTTCTCTCACTTTGCGGTATACCCACTTCTCACTTATTCACATGGTTAGGGTCTAAAGACCAGGTTGTTATGCAGAAATGGAGGGTAACCACATTAGGCCACAAAGTGGAGGAGACTATATCACTATAGACTTGACAAATGATATCAATACATAGCAGTCAAAAGGATGAGAATCATAAGCAGTCATGTTGACATGGAACCTGAACCATCACCAGCAGCGCCTCTCTCATCTGTATGAACCTCAGCAATCATTACCCGTCAGACAGTGTGTTGTTAAATAAGTAAAATGGTCACATAGGAAATTTTTCACTCGTCACAAATGTGAAATGTTAGATAGCAAAATAATTGGTAAGTAAGAAGTAGGTATTCACTCAATATTTAATCTGCATTTTAGAAAATCTTTTCACTGTGGGATGATGATCATGATATGGCTAGATAATAGTATATTAAACTACCGAGAAAAAAGAAATTTATAGTTTTATTTTAAAAAGAACAGAAAACAAAACTTTATAAACTACCATATCTCATTTGATACAAAAAAAAGAAAATGAAAACAAGATATATAAACCAGTAGTACATTGGGGGGGGGGGGTTTATTGTCCTGGATGTCAATGCCAACCTTGCCCGACACACTGGGGTCACCAAAGAGGTCAAGGTAATCATCCTGAATCTGAAAGAACTCACCCATCTCCAGCAGGTTCTTCTTGGCAATGGCATGCTCCTTCTCCCCCTCAGTGCCCACCATGTACATTGCGGCAGCCATGGGAAGTTTAAAGAGTAGAAGCTGTCTTGTACTTGACAATAGATTTATACCTCTTTTCAGTGAATCTGCCAAGATCCATGTTGCCCTGGTGGGCAGTGATGAGTGTTCAATCTCAGTCTGATAGGAACTCTTCAAGAGCTTGATCAGATTCTGATAATAGGGCTGCTCCTGGCAGTACTAGTTCAGCAGGCAGTAGATACATGCTTCCAGCAGTATGACATCATTGATGAAGCTATGGTTGGCTTCTGATACCAGCAGGGCTGCCCCCGTCGGATAAGGTATGCACCCATAATGTCATTTAATACCAGGAAAAAAGCTTGGGGCGGCTCCACACACCAGCCCACGGTCAGGGCCCACTGAAGATTATGAGCATCCTACTTCCTTGGCTCCACCAGCTCCTGGAACACAGCCAGTACTGTCAAACCTCAGCTGTACTTGCCACCAAGGACATTGTACTCTAGGACCTTCCTGAGCCACGCAATAGTGTCTCCTGTCTCGGGATGTCCCAGCTCATCCTCAGTCAGCACCTTGAGAATCTGGGAGAAGTGCTGGATGAAACCTGCTTTTCTTGGGCATAAGTGTCTGATTTCTGGTCTCCATTCATTCTGAGGATGGAGCAAAGTGTTCTGTTGCTGGATTCTGGATCTTGCTTGGTCCTTCCATCTTCTTTTGATGCTTTCTGCATCATTCAGTATTTTGCCCATAGAATCCTTCAAAATTTCAGGTTGAGGCTTGAATTTTTTCTTTAGTTCTTTCAGCCTCAGTAATGCTGAGCATGCTTTTCCCTTTTGGTTTTTAACTCCAGGTCTTTGCACATTTCATTATCAGAGTTTGAGTCAAGAATTATCCACACTATGTAGAATTTATTTTAATCAACTTTTAGAAAAGAAAAATACTTCTTTTTCAACATAATCTCCTTGATTTTCAATATACTTTGTCTACCTGACAACCAATATTTCGGTTCCCTTACTTAAAATGTTGAAAGTTAGGCTGAGCTATGAGCCACAAATGCACCACTGCCTTCACTTCTTCAGAGGGGACCAAACAGGTGAAAGTTCAATGGAGGAAGATCAGGACTACACGGAAGATGCTTTAGTACCTGAAAATGAAGTTTTTACAGAGTGTCAACAGTGAGGATGGAGGTGTGAGGATGTGCATTTTCATGCAAGATCACAAAGCCTTGGGATAGCAGTCCTCTGCATTTAATTAGAAGCTTATGCCTCAGCACTTTAGTGAACATCTCAATGTAACGAGCACTGTTGATTGTTTAACTTTTCCTGAATGTTCCACTATTGGCCCTTGAGGATCCCAGAATACTGTAAGCATTATTTTCCATGTGATGGTTGACTTTTGAACTTATTCCTGGTTGGTGAATGAAGAGTTTCTATTTCATACTCTTTCGTTTACTCTCAGGCTAATAGTGATAAATCCATGTCTCATCACCAGTAATGATTTTTTAAAAGAAACTTTTATCATCTTTTAAGCACTAGTCCAAATTTTGTTTGCAGATGTCTAAACGCTTCTGTTTACGCTCTTCCATGAGCTGTTTTGGTACCCATCTTGCATAAACGTTTCAAAACCCAAGTCTGTCATGGATTATTTCGTAGGCAGAGTCATGGTTGATCTGCAGATGATTTGCTACATAATCCACTGTCACTTGTCTGTTTGACAGAATCATTTCACATGCATGCTCAATGTTATCATCAGCCGTGGACATGTGTTTCAATATAACCAGAGGGTGGATAATTTTTGACTCATCCTCATAGTATTTTACTTTGTGTTCTTGAGCTGACTTTTGAAATGTTCTGCTCAGCTCTTTTACCTCTTCATTTTTTCTATTTGCTTTAGCATCTTTATGCTGGAGAGCAAGTTTCAGAGCTTCTTCTGACATCCTTTTTTGTCTTTTCTTTCTTTCTTGTCTTCTTACTGACCTTTTGCTTTCTTTCTCCATGATGTTCTTCATGCCAGCCCACAACGCTTCTGGTCTTCTGTCTAATCTATCACATCTGTTCTTGTGATGATCTGCTATCTAAATTCAGTTGAGATATGTTCAGGATCATATTTTGGCTCTCGTGGACTAGTTCTAATTTTCTTCAACTTTAGTCTGAAGCTTGCATATGAGCAATTTGATGGTCTACTCCATAATGTGCCCTTGTCCTTGTTTTACCTGATGATATGGAGCTTTTACACTGTCTCTTTCCATAGATGTAGTCAATTTAATTTCTACATATTCCATCTGGTGAGGCCCATGTGTACAGGCATCTTTTATGTTGTTTTTAAAAGGTATCTGCTATAAATTAGACATTTCGCTTGCAAAATTCTACCATGCAATCTCCAGCACCGTTTGTATTGCCAAAGCCATAATTTTCAACTATTGATCCTTTTTCTTTGCTTCCAGCCTTTGTATTCCAATGACGAGTAATTGTCAATACATCTTGATGGCATGTTTCATCAATTTCAGGCTGAAGTTGGTAGAATTCTTTAATTTCATCATCACAGGCTTTGATTGGTGCAGAAATTTGAATAATGGTGGTATTAACTTGTGTTCCTTGTAGGCATATGGATATTTTCCAATCACAGAAAGCATGCATTTACATCAAGATAGAACTTGAAATGTTCTTTTTGATGATGAATGCAACACCATTCTTCTGCAATTTGTCATTCCCATCACAGTAAACCATATGACTGTCAGATTCAAAATGGCTAATACCAATTCAACTTATGAATGCCTATGATATCCATCATTATGTATTCCATTTCATTTTTTACAACTTCCAATTTCATAGTTTGCAGCTTCATAGTTGGTACATTCATTGTTCTGATTATCAATGGATGTTTACAGCTGGTGTTCCTCACTCTGAGTTGTGTCCCATTCAGCAAATGAAGGTCCTAAAAGCTCCATTCGTGTCATCAAGGTTGACTCTACTTTGAGGAGGCAGCTCTTCCTCAGTCGTATTTTGAGTGCTTTCCAACCTAAGGTGCTCATCTTCTGGCTCTATTATTATCTGACAATATTTTGGTGCTATCTGACAACGTCCTACTGCTAATTCATAAGGTTTTCAGTAGCTACACATTCAGAAGTAGTCCGCCATTCTTTCTTCCTAGTCTGGAAGCTCAGCTGAATGTAACCTGTCCACCATGGGTGACGCTGCTGTTATTCAAACTACTGGTGGTATAAGTTCCAGCATCACAGCAACATGTACGTCACTACAGTAAGACAAATGAGCGGTTTTAGACTGAACACAGTATATTCCTGATCCTTGTTCTGACTATTAAGTAGCACTCGTTAGGTGTCCAACCATGGCAAACATCATTTATCAGTATTTTTTTCAATACTTAACATACAATTTACCCATAATATATGGTTTTACAAATGACATTAAGAAGAGGCAGAAGAACAAGTAAAAGGGGAGACAGTTCATTAATCTGTGTGGGGTGACGTGTTATACCTTCATCTGGGGGCTGTGCCATGAAAGAGTCATGAAATCCGCCCATGCTGCTGTGCTCTTCCTGCTCCTCAGTCTCAGTGTCACACTCAATATCACTGTCGCTACTCATTCCTGGAAGGAAAGAAAGGAAGATGATATTTCTGGCAAGAAAACACTGTAAAAGAAAGGTAATCTGCAGATCCACTAACCTAAGCCTTCTATAGACTACCAGGATAATATAAGATGCCAAAAAAAAAGGGAGGTGACTGTACACAATGCTCAGCTCTCTAGTATTTAGAACAGTGGTTGGTGAAGTGCAATCCATCACGTTTTTGTAAATAAAGTTCACTGAGCACAGCCATTCATGTATGCATTATCTACGGCTACTTTAATTTTAACAGAGTTAAGACACTGTGATAGAGTCTGTAAGGCCCACAAAGCTTAAGATATTTAAACTCTGACTCTTTATAGAAAGGGTTGTGTTGATCCTTGATTTGTTACCACTGTTCGTTGCCAGAGATGGGGTGCTGACTTACAGTGAGCTGCTATACATGAAACAAAATGCTGCCTTCATGATCCCTGCAATGAATGAGTCTACTGGCATGGGCACTCTGTCAATCCATCTCATGAACAATTTTTCTCACTTTCATTGACTATATTCTGCACCATAAAATAAACCACTACACAAATAAAAGAGTCATTAATAAGACTATGTTCTCCGGTCATAAGGGAATGAAGTTGTAAAACAGTAATAGAAAATCATTTAGAAAATTCCCAAATGTTTAAAATTAAACAATAAACTTAATATATGAATTGAAGGAGAATTCACAAGAGAAATTAGACAACATTCTGAAAGAAATGAAACTAAAACGAATGAAAATATGAGTGATGCAGCTACAGCGTCACAGCAGTGATTCAAGCAAACTGAAGGCATTAAATGCTTATATTACGAAAGGTGTCAAATCAATGATGCAAGTGTCTTCACCTTAAAAGAACAAAGCAAAACAAAAAACCTACAAAAAGAAAAAACTAAGCCCAACAAAGGAAAAAGGAAGAATAAAGAGCAAAAATCAGTGAAATTAGCAGAAAAAGAAGAGAAAAATCAATGAAAACAAGAGGGGATTCTTTGAAAACACCAATAACACAGAAAAACCTCTAGACAGTATTAAAGAGAAGACAAAATTATCAGGATTAGAAAGACAGTACACATCACGACAGATTTTATAGACATTGAAAGGGTAATAAAAAATAGTATGAACTTTCTGATCATAAGGTCAAGAATATGGATAAAATTGGTAGGTTCTTTGGGAGACACAAATGATCAACTTTAAAGAAAAACAGATGACCTAAATAGGTATTACACATTAAAAAACCAGAATTTGTAGTTTCTTACACAAAGTTTTCTTAAAACTAGAAGAAACACTTCAAATCCATTGTATGAGTGCAGAATAACATTGACACCAAAATCAGACAGACATTACAAAACAATTACAAACCAGAATTTCTTAAGAAGATAGAAGCAAACAACCTCAACAAAATGAATCCTCAGTAAATCAAATGCAACAATATGTATAAAAAGGAAAATACATCATGACTCAAATGAGAATTACTTTGGGAATGTAAATCTATTTGGTTCAATATTCAGAAATCAGCCGATGTAATTCATCATTTCAACAGAATGAAGAAATCATAATCACCCACCAACAGATGTAGAAAAACATGACAAAATTCAATATACATTCATTATTAAAAACTCAGCAAACTAAAAACAGAAGGGAAGTTCCTCAACTTGAGAAGGACAGCGAACATCAAACTTCATGCTGAAAGACTGAATGTTTTTCCTCTAAGTTCAAGACAAAAACCTTAGTGAGGAAAATCAGCAACTCCTATGAAAAGAAACATTGGTGCTTTGAGATGGTACAAATAAAACAAGAAATAAGTAAAAGGTATATTGATTAGGAAGGAAAAAACAAGATCATTATTATTCATAGATGACATGATTTTCTATGTAGGAAATCCCAAGAAAGCATTAAAACCAACGCTTTCTATATTTTCTATATTACTAATGAACTAAAGGAAATTGAAAAATTTTAAGTGCCGATTAACGTTTGAGCATTAACATTATTAACAAATAACAATATTAACAAATAACATTTTAGTGTTAAGTGATGGTGAAGTCTGTTCCGACTCACAGTGACCACGTATATGGTTTCTGGGCAGTGGTTGGTGATTCTGAACCACTGACCTTGCTGTTAACAGCCCAGTTCTTTTTTATTTATATTTTTTTCAGTATCTTCTCAAATTTTAGTTTTTTAAAAAAAGGAAGATTTAGAGAGAGACAAACAAGATGGTGGATCGGGTGGAAGTGCAGTAAGGAGCTCTGTCGGCAACAACACAGAATACAGGACCAATAAAGAAATAGATGAATCTACAATAATAGTGGTGATTTTAATTCACTGCTTTTCAAAAATCGATAGATCAACCAGAAAGAAACTTAACAAAGACACAGAAGAACTAAACAACACAATCAGCCAACTAGACCTCATAGATGTGTATAGAGCATTCAACCCAACAACACAATACACATTCTTTTCCAGTGCATATGGAACATTCTCCAGAATAGATAGACCATGTGTTAGGTCACAAAACAAATCTCCATAAATTTACAAATTATCAAAATACTACAAAGCATTTTCTCAGATCACAATGCTGTCAAATTAGAAATCAACAATAGGAAGACCAAGGAAATAAAGGCAAATACATGGAAACTGAATAACACCCTGCTGAAATGCGACTGGGTAGTAGAAGAAATTAAATGTGAATTCACATAGTTCCTAGAAATAAACGAGAACAAAACACAACATACCAAAATCTTTGGGACACAGTGAAAGAGGTGCTGAGAGGACATTTATAGCAATAAACACACACATCCAAAAAGAAGAAAGAACCAAAATTAACACATTAACACAGCATCTATAACAATTAGAAACAGACCAATAGAGGGAACACACAGCCACCAAAAGAACAGAAATAATAAAGATTAGAGCAGAAATAAATGAGATAGAAAACAGAAAAACTATAGAAATAATCAACAGTACAAGAAGCTGGTTCTTTGAAAGAATTAACAAAATTGACAGACCATTGGCAAACCTAACTAAAGAAACAAGAAAGACGACACAAATAACATGTATCAGAACCACATGGTTGATGTCACAACAGAACCAAAGGAAATCAAAAGAATAAGAGAATACTATAAAGAGTATGTACTCCAACAAATTTGAAAACTTAGAAGAGATGGACACATTTTTAGATACACACGACCTACCTAAACTTACACACAGTGAAGTAGAAAACCTGAACAGACTAATAACAAAAGAAGAAATTGATCAGGTCATCAAAAGATTCCCAACTGAAAAAAGTCAGGCCAAGACGGGTTCGCTGGTGAATTCTACCAAACATTCAGGGAAGAGCTGGCACCAATTCTACTCAAGTTATTCCAAAAGATAGAGGAGGATGGAAAACTTCCTAATACATTTTATGAAGCATAACCCTCATACCAAAACCCCAGGGAGGGACGTCACTAAGAAAGAAAACTATAGACCAATATCCCTCATGAACATAGATGTAAAAATTCTCAACAAAATCCTAGTCAACAGAATCCAGCATCACATCAAAAAGAT